GTCCTGAGAGAGGCTTGGGAGGAGGGACCTTCGGATAGCAAAAACGAAATTCAGCATGTGCTGGACCTGAGAACAAAACTCCACACATTGGGGCAGCTCTCTATGGAGAATTTGTTACAGGCCCAGGACAAGCAGAGCCGGCTGTATAATCGGGGAACCAGAGTACGCAATTTTGCACCGGGAGATAAAGTGCTTGTATTACTCCCTACCTCTAGCTCTAAATTACTCGCCAAGTGGCAAGGACCCTTTGAGGTCACACGGCGGGTGGGCGATCTTAATTATGAGGTAATTAGATCGGACAGGAGTGGAGCACGTAAAATTTACCACCTTAACCTCCTTAAAAAGTGGAGCGAGGTGCAACCGGTGATGCTGGCGACGGCAGTGAGTGGAGAGGAGGATCTCGGGCCAGAGGTGACCAATAAAATCCAATCCCTCGCTCTGGCCCCAGGGGGGGATCACCTCTCGCCCACCCAGCTCACTGATGTAGCAAGATTGCAAGCCGAGTTTGCAGACGTGTTCTCACCCCTGCCGGGGCTCCGGCCACTTTTCAGCGGCTCATGGACAGAATCCTCCGCCCGCATGCCGCCTATGCCGCTGCCTATCTAGATGACATCATTATTTACAGTCAGGACTGGCAGCGTCATATGGCGCCGCAGCTCGCCGACACTGGACTTAACCAAGGGATATTGGCAGATCCCCTTATCGCCCTTATCCAAAGAAAAAAGAAAATTCACGACGCCGTTTGGATTACACCAATTTGTTACCCTTCCTTTCGGGTTGTTCGGGGCACCGGCCACTTTTCAGCGGCTCATGGACAGAATCCTCCGGCCGCATGCCGCCTATGCCGCTGCCTATCTAGATGACATCATTATTTACAGTCAGGATTGGCAGCGTCATATGGCGCATCTGCGGGCTGTCCTACGAGCTCTGAGGGGGGCCGGGCTGACGGCCAACCCGAATAAGTCTGCGGTTGGGCGGGTGGAGGTCAGGTATCTGGTCTTCCACTTGGGTCATGGACAGATGCATCCCCAAATTAGTAAGACGGCGGCAATTGTGACCTGTCCGAGGCCCAAGACCAAAAAGGAGGTGAGGCAGTTCCTGGGGCTGGCAGGATATTATAGAAGGTTTATACCTAATTATTCGGACCTTACCAGCCCGCTGACTGACCTCACTAAAAAGGAAGT